AGGGGACTGGGGGTGGGGGGAGAAACGTGAGGGGGAAGATAGTCAAGCGTCTTGTGATATGTTTACTCGGTGACAATGATCACTAGAATAGTGGGGTGATCACACTGTAAGGTATAAAAACACTGAATCACTATACTGTACACCTGAAACCAATATGATCAATGTAAGATTGTAGACCGACCAAACTTAGATGCACGTGAGACAGGCTTCCAAGGGAAGCTAATTAAAGCCTATTCAGTTCAAATCCAACTGACATGGTGAAACTCAAGTGCAATGTCGTTGTGTTAGTGAACGGGGAGTCGTTGTTAGTGAACGGGGGGTGGGGGGGGGGGAGGCCTACCTCGCGGGGCCCTGGGAGCTGTCCAAGGTGCTTGCGCGGGCGTCCGGGGCCCGCACTGCAGGCTCAGCTGCGACAAAGATGAAAACCCTCAGCATTGCATACGTAGGCAGCACATTCCCAACATCATTTCAAGAATCCTAGGCCACAATAACTTTAAACTTAACCTCAATTTCCCTTATAACTCACAGAGAAATCGTGGTATATTTAAAGCTATCTTCTTTAAAAAAATCTTTATTGATTTCAGAGAGGGAGAGACAGGAACATTAACGATGAATCATTGACAGGCTGCCCCCTGCACGCCCCCTACTGGGGATCCAGCCCACAACCTATGCCTGTGCCCTGACTAGGAATCGAACCCTGACTCCTAGGTCATAGGTCAAGGCTCAACCACTGAGCCACACTGGCCGGGCCTTTATTTCTTACAGTTGTTATTAAGTGCGATCACTAGAACATGGTACTATAGTAACCACAAACCTGTTAGGTTTAACACACACACACACACACACACACACACCTTTCTATGGTCTAACGAGAAATTCAAATGGCAGACTAAAGCCAAGAAACCATAACTGGAGTGGATTCTGGTAACAATGGTGAAAACTCAGAATCTCACAGGGACGAGAGCTGGGGATGGGGGTGAGCGAGGCAAAGAGAAGAAAGCGACCGACGGTGAGAGCTCAAAGCCCCGCAACGTCAGGCTGCACATCCACAGCCGCTGCCTCCACTTTGTTCTCTCCGACATCAGGCCTCGCACGGAGCATCCAGGGGCTCTAACTGAGAACTCAGCGCTCATCAAGGTCAGCGCTGACCCTGAAAGGACAGAGGGGCCGCGGGGGCTGCCCTGTCCGCCTGCTCGTGCGCAGGGCACTCGGCGGGGACGTACCTCCCTGTGCCCGAAGGACGCGCGGCTGGACGAAGGACGGCTTCACCACCTCGAACCACCAGAAGAGCTCGGCCATGAACACCAGGTAGTTGCTCTGGGGGAGGGAGAGGGAGAAACGGTGACTGTGCGACGTGCTGGGCGTGGCTCACGCTGCGCTGGGGTCATGCGCACACCTCACACCCACACCATGTTCTATGTCCATCGCGTCTTAAAGCTGGGAAGCCGTCGGAGCGCCTGGCAAGGTCACGGTCCTCGTGGCGTTGTACTGCGTGTGGCCACCAGGGGTCAGCAGAGTACGGGGTGAGTGTCCTGTAACCACAGCTCACATTTCGGTCTGAATTTAAGATGGTTAAACAGGAACGCCTGTGCCACCAAATGCATCTCATCTCCAGCTCTTCCCTCCGTCTTCACGACGGTCCCGCGGCTGCAGTGAGGCCTCACACAACCCACAGAAGCACAGTGTGCAAGACCGACGGGAGAGGGCGCGGTGACTCCCCCTCCGGGGAACAGGCTGTTGTTCCCACAGACCTGGCTCGAGCATCCACACGCGTGTGTAGCTGTGCACACACTGCGGAAGGCTTTTCAGTATGTAATGACATCCTGCCGTGGGTGACGGGTGCTCCTGCTCTTTTCACCCGATGCCTTGCAGAGCTGTGTGCGTCAGTAAAGCACCTCCACTCCTCCCTGCCGACAGCTCAGCTCTGGGCAACGTGCACACGGGTCCCTAGTGAGACGGCCTGTTTCCGCTCTTCACCTCCAGGAACCACCCTCTCACGCCCGGTGCCGGCGAATGGGTTAGAGCCCCTCCCCCGGTCACACTGCCACCAGAGGGGAGGGCGCCTCGCCGCACAGGGCCGGCTGCAGTGACGGACAGGGAGGGGCCGGGACCACGGGCCAAGCCGCTTCCTGAGTCGGGAAACAGTCAAGTCAAGTCAGAGCTGTGGTTCCAACGCTTTAGTAAAGGACACGGAAGCGACCCACGCCCCTGTGGACAGCGATCTCCTTCAAGTGTGGCTGATCCACCTGGATCCGGCCGCTCTGCGCGATGAGAGAGAATCATGGACCGGCCGCCTCCTGCACGCCCCCACTGGGGACGGAGCCCGCAACCCGGGCCTGTGCCCTGACCAGAAATCGAACCATGACCTCCTGGTTTGTAGGTCGACGCTCAACTACTAGGCCATGCCGGCCCGGCAGCACTTGGATTTTTCAACAGGCAAGTTCCAGTAAAGGCGTTTATGAGATACATGTGGCCGCGACATTCCTAATTTCTACTCTGATAACACGGCAGGGGCCAGCCTTCGAACATGAGGCTAGCAGATGGACACTGGGCTGAGTTCCAGGCGGTTAAAGATGCCTGCAGCTCACCGCGGTTAAAAAACATAAAATAAGCAGGAAATCCACAAGCTGATTTTCCCAAAGGTCCCCTGGCTGACAGAAGAGCCATCTGTGGCTCGCAAGGAGGGAGGGAGAGGAGGGAGCACGCACCTTGATGGAGGCGGCGGCGTACAGCATGTCCTCCAGCGAGAAGTGGCAGCACTGGGTCAGGTGCTCCTGGCAGAACTCCTGGACCAGCTGCAGGTTGTACAGGCTGTCAGCCAAAGACATGGTTTCTTTCAAACAAATATCTTCAAACAGGAAGAGAGCAAGGTGATGACTTGGGGTTGATTTGGAAACACACATTTCAGATCCCACTTAGTGACTCAGGGCACTCACACACGCACGTGCGTCTGCTTCACACACACACACACACACAACTCACACTCACTCAGAGACGGGGCGGCCACGACACAGACTGGGAGCCAGCATGCCTCCCCTGCTGCCACCTGCGCTGGTGGAAGCCGTGCGCTGTCACCACTGCCCGCGTCCCCATGTCCCGCCGTCTCCCCCGCCCCCCCCATGCCCCGCAACGTCCGTGCGCTCACCCTCCAGCCTGACGACGCCGGGGCAGTAGAAGTGGATGAGGGCGGCCAGCGCGCAGCCGTCCGTCCCGTCCTTCAGCAGGTTCTCCACCAGCGGGATGCACGGCAGCTGCCGCAGCAGCGTCTGCTCCTTCCGGTAACGCGCCTGCAAGCAGGGAGATGCACGAAGTCAGTGCGAGCACCGGAGCCAGTCCGCAGTCTAACGTGTCCCCAACGCCACGCGACAGAGAATGAGACCAGTCACAGCATCTTCTCTCTCAGCACCCGGCACCCTCCCCAGTCACACACACAGCGCTGGCGAGCTGCACAGACCCACCGCTGATTCGGGAGGGACCCTGAGCCTAAACGCTTCCGTGAAGAAGCATCGCATCCCGGCCGGTGTGGCTCAGTGGGTGAGCATCGAGCTATGACCGAGGAGGTCAGGGTCGATTCCCGGTCAGGGCACAGGCCTGGGTTGCAGACACATCCCCAGTGTGGGGCACGCAGGAGGCAGCTGGTCAATGATTCTCTCTCATCATTGATGTTTTTCTCTCTCTCTCCCCCCTCTCCCTTTCTCTCTGAAATCAATAAAATATATATTTTAAAAAATGACTCAGACTGATGAACAAAAATAGATCCAGAGACAAATGGCAGGGGAGGTGGGGGGTTAGTGATCAACCAAAGGATGTGTATGCACGCACGTCAGCATAACCAAGGGACACAGACACGGGGCGGTGGGGGCTTGCCCTCGGGGTGGGAATGGCCGGAGGGGTGTCCACTGGGGAAAAAGGAGACACATGCAAAACTTTAGACAATAAAAAAAAAAGGACTCAGAGACTCTGCATGTAATCACCAGCCCGCCGCCCTGAGCACAGCGCTCTGCAGCGCTGGCCGTGCCCTGCGTGGCGGGTCCTCCCACGGAAAGGGCCAGGGAAACTGGGCGGCAGGGCCTGTGCTGTCCCCACAGGACACCTGGCGATGGAAGCATCGCTCGAGGAACTGGGACAGTATCACAGGTGACACACGGGCTTGTCATCTGAACGTTAAGGTCACACAAATAGAGTGTAACAACCCTGAGACTGGAAAAACCGTCCCAGCTGAGGGCTCACTCACCAGTAGCAGAGCGAGCACAGGGGTTCCCGCTCACCCGGAAAACAGAGGGAACGTGGGTGTGCGTGGGGGGAGGAGGGGGCGCGTGAGGGTTTACGGGACAGCTCTGTTCTCGGCAACGAGATGCTGAGGAGCCAGTGGTTAAGACAAGCTCTGGAATCAGAGACCCCGGTTCAAATCCTGGTCCTGCCACTTAGGAGCGCTCGTGTCTCAGTTTCCCCATCTGTAAAATGGGGCTGAGGGCCCCTGGAGGGTGGACAAGATGACGGCGTCAGGTGCGCGCCCGCTGCTGGGCACCGCGCAGGCGGGAGCTCAAGGCTGGCTGGTACCAGCTCCCAGCTCCCCGAGGGCACGGAGAGGCCGCCGAGGACGGGGAGGAGTTTAGCAGCACAGCTCATGGCGGTGCTGGTTACTGCACTTTAAAGTGGGTCTTTAAAATAATCAAAACTCATTTTCTTCTGACTCCACCTAAACCGGCCCCCTCTCTATTTTATAATTAGAATATAATTATGACACGTTCCAGTGCCGGGCCGACGTCTCCATCTACGCTGTGTCCCTCCTCAGGCCCCCACCTCAGAGACACACTGCACACACGCGCTGCAGTCCGCAGTGATTCCTGATGCTGCGCGGTCAGGACTCCCTCTCAGCCGGCAGCAGCCTTGGCCGCCGGTCTCTCACCCGGGAGGCAGGTCCAGGTCCTCACGCTCCCTGCTTAGCCGGCAGGGGACAGGGCCTGCTGCCCGGACACCCTGGGAACCGCCGGCTCCCGGCTCCCCAGGTCCCTGGGACAAGCCGGTTGGGCCTATGGTCTGCACTGGACCGAGCCACCACCCAGGGCCACGGACACCAGCAGGAGGTGCGCCTGCTGCCCTGCTCTCTGCCAGCAGCCCCTCTGCCCCAGGCACACACACACACGCATGGATGCACAGATGCATGGACACATGCACAGACACACGCACGCATGGACACTCTCAAGCTCAGACACACAAGCACACACGTGTGGACGTGTGCACACACACAGAGCTTTGCTGGCGTTAGCAGTAAATGTCTCTGCTCACCACATTCAGCCAGAGACATGGAGGCATGCCAGACATTGTGAGTGGGCTGACCCCCAGCCTTAGTCCTGAGAGACCAGCCCTTCGGGTCAACCAGAACTGAGACGGGAAGTCCGGAGCTGGTAAGGACAGCGGTCACTTGCTATCACAGTGTCCCTACCACTCAGGCTGAAGAGGAGATGATTCTTTCAAAACCATGGCTTTGAATACAAATAGTTCACACATGTAATTCATATTCACTCCTACTAACGTTATTAAAACTAACGCTTTTTTAAAACCTGGTTACTGATGGTCTGTGGTTACTGACAGGATAAGCAAAAGGTGCTGCCGCGTCAGATGACTTTACAGCTTCCGGCCAGCCTGGAGGGACTGTCTACCTCCCTATGTCACGGGACCAATGCCGGGCAGTCCCTCTGCGTGACTGACGGCTGTAGTGACCGCGCCAGCAGGACACAGCAAGGCCACGCTACGGGCACAGTTCTCAGGGCAAACTTACGGGCACCAGTTTCCAAAACCACTTGGAGGGAGACTTCGGAGGAGCAGCGGAAGCAAAGGAAGGAAAGGCGTCAGGTTAGTGTCAGTGAAGCTACGGTCGGTTTCCCACCGCGGAGCCCACGGCGACAGCGCCCGTAACCTCTCTAAATGCCAGCTAATACTTCAGCTTAAAATCTACAGGTTTATTTAAAGATAAGTGCACATGGACAGAAGTAGGTTACAACCCGTTAAATAAGTTCACACAGACAATAGAGGACAGACCTGCTTACATCAGCACCTAAGTGATAAATAGGAGGAGGGGCGGGGTGAGAAATGACGTCCGTGAGCCCCACGGAAAGCTCTCAGGTTGGCCCCTCGTGAACACGCCCTGGGAGGGGACACGCTCCGCACTCGTGGACAGAGACGGAAGCCATGGCCCCGGCATCTGAGTTACGTCTAACATAAGGCCGGTCATCTTCACGCAGTATTTACTGCTGGGAGAGAAATCGGGGGCCACCTCTGAATTTTTTAAAGGCTAAAACGCCAAGTTCCTCACTGAGCTGATGGCCAGGGGCATATTCTAGACTGAGGTGCTGTTTTTGCTAAAAGGGATGTTGGCGATGGTATAACGAAAGAAACTAGTGAGCACTGACCCGAAGTCCACACAAGAGAAACCGTAACTACAGAACAGAACCTCAGGGGCAGAATCCTAGGTGAACGTTACCTCATCAGGCGGTCAAGGCCTCACAATTATTTAGTTGAAGTAACAGTATGAAAAGGAGCCCAGGTAAGCCTCAGAGTCAAACCAAACGATGCCTGGGAGGGTGACGCCCCGTGTTGGAGCCTGTGTTTGTTCTGTGTGTTTATAAACGTATGGAACACACCCGGGTCAATGAGAACGTTACAGGTCAGACACCGGGTGCCCAGAGCCGCTCCAAAGAACACGGTTCTGTGGGTGTGAGCACATGCCATTCACAGAGGAGTTCAGAGATCACACGTGTTTGGGAGACAGATGGGCAGGCTTCTCCAGGGGCCTTCATGTCTGAAAATGGGCTGTGACGTTCTGAGAGGGGCCCGGGGGGGTGGGGGGGCAGCATCTCGCAATGGACTTGACTTCAGAGCCCCTTTCTCCAATGTAGCTCGGTGCTGCGTGAAGGAATGGAGTTAAAACAAAAGTGGGTTATGGTTTCCACGGCTGAGGAGCTCTGCCCGCACGGGCGGAGGAAATCGGGCAGCGCGTGCGCTGCTCTCACTGGGGAGAGGGGCTATTCTGAGCCTCCACCTTCAAATGAAAGCAACTAGAACGAGGGGATGTCTTTTCTCCAAAAGCCACTCCTTCCCCCAGTTCCAGCCCCTGCAGAATCCCTCACCCATGTTTTTCTTTAAAAAGCGGCAAATGCTACACCGAGTAGACTCGTATCTGTAATATTCTGAGAAACAAACTCAACATAGTCAGTCTTATAAACTTAAGAACACAAACCCGTGGATTCACAGCTCTCAAAACCCACCAAATGGCCTACTGGCTCATTCCCAAAGGTGCCATGTACTCCGACGGCATGTCTGCAGGCACACGTCCCTGTGACCTAGTGCCCCACTTTCCAAGTCCACCCGCCACCCCCAGGGCGAGTCAAGTCCACACCCTCGAGAAGGCCCTCCCAGGTGTTCCCTCCCACAGCCTCCCAGGTGTTCCCTCCCACAGCTGCCACAGCTGCCAGGTGTACATATGGAAGTTCATGACAACCAGCTCCCTACTCCACAGACCTGTCGTGTCTAGTACCTGCTGTTACTAACACAGCGAAGAGGGGAGATTTGGGAATCATTTTAGTCACGGAATTTAGGAGCCCTTAGTCCAACCCTTAATGTTTACAGATGAAGAGAGGCCAAGAGGGGAGAGGGCCTGGGAAGGTCACGCAGCGTCAGGGCAGCGCTGGTCTGACCGGAAGCTCAGATGCATTTGCTACACGCTCCGCGCAGGCCCTCGGAGAATGGATGCTGGACTTGAGGCCGTGCTGCAAACCCCGGAGACCCTAGAGCAGGGCGCTAGTACAATACACAGGCTCAAGCAACTTAGACCAAAACACTGTTGGTTATTTATCTGAACTTCAAATTTAACTGGGCCTCCTACTTTAGCATCAAAAGGAGCATTATTAGCAGAAAGAGCAATTTGAAAAAAAGGAAACGGAGAACATCCCAGCAGTAAAGGGTCTGGCTTTCCCTCGGACGTGGCGCTCCTCACAAGGCCCCCCGCTAGGATACGGCCTACCCTACGGTCAGAAACACACCAGGGGGGAGCGCACGCTCTAAAGAGAGAGCTTTGCACTGTGAATTCTGGTCCAACACAGTACAAGTGGCCGCGCGCAGGCCCATGTTTAGAGAAGATGGTGGTAAGGAATTCACTGGAACGAGGTCGGGCAGGAGGCGGGCAGCGCATCACCGGCACACGGTGGGCGTAACAATGAGGAGACCGAGTCACCCGAATGGAAAGGGAGGCTCTGAACAAGGGCAATGTCTCCCCCCGAGCCCCGTGCCCCGAGCCTGAAGGGCTCTCCCGCGATGCACTCTGCTGGGCGGCCCTGCAGGAGCACAGCTGGGCTGCGTGTGCAGCACACAGGTGTGCAGAGCAGGAAGGCCAGGTGCCGCTAGAGGACGTCCAAAGACCGACTCCACGCTGATGTTTCTTCTTCCCCCAGAACCTCCCCGGGGACAACTCACAGCTCCTGGGCCACGATGGTAAAGGCGGCCTATTACACGGCATCACAGGGCCGATGCCCGGACGCTGTTTTCGTGTTGTTTCCTACATTTTACCAAAGTCCAAACCATTATTTTTGCCAAAAGAACCTCAGAACCTGAGCTCGAGCACTGACGTTCCCCTGAGCACCGTCGTCCACCCCTTCGCTCTGTGGTGTTCCCGGCCTGGCTTTCCCGGCACAGTCACCGTCACCAAAACCAAGTTCATGACCACAACTTCGGACATTTCCCCAAGTAACAGCACATGTGGGCGCACGGGCCGCACGAGGCCCCGTTTTCAATTCGAAACGTACCTTTTGACCTCCTGGGGCCTCCACTGTGTGATGCTCCTTCAGTTTCTGTTCTTGCTCCAGAATGTCCTTCAGATGTTCGTTTACCTTAAATACAAAAGCACCGACGTGAAGGTCCATCCGCGTAGAACAGGAAGAGCATGCGCCTCACCCTCCGGTGGCCAGACCCGTGTGTCCAACAGCAGCCCCACCACAGGAGAACGCTCCCTTCCCAACCGGAGGCAGCGCCCTGCAGGGGCCGCATCCGCGCACGGGGGTGAGCTCACTGACGCACTGGATGCTGCCGAACACCCGCTGTGGGCGGGACGGGCGAGCTGGGGACAGGCCACCAGGAGCCTCAGCGTTAAGGCTCGGGAGTAAGAACGCTGCTGTTTCGTCAATATTTTACACTCTCGCCCGGCCGGCGCGGCTCCGTGGTGGAGCGCCAACCTACGAACCAGGAGGTCACCCGTTCGACTCCCAGTCAGGGCACATGCCCAGGTTGTGGGCTGATCCCCAGTGTGGGGTGTGCAGGAGGCAGCCGATCCATGATTCTCTCTCATCATTGAGGTTTCTATCTCTCTCCCTCTCCCTTCCTCTTTGAAAAAAAAAAAGAATAGACATAAAAAAAAAAAAAGGGGGAATGGGAAATTTTAACCAGATTGCACAACCTGAGCTTTCGCTTTGATTTGAAACAGAAAGGGTAATGGAGTGTGTGTCTGCTCAGGAGACATCAGCAAGACCACAGACGGCAGCTTGCGAACAGCAGAAACGTGTCCCTCACAGCTGGAGGCTGGAGGCCAAGGTCCCGCGGGGGCGGGTAGGGTGTCTGGTGAGAGCCAGCGTCTGGCCATTTTCTCCGGGACGTCACATGCCCAAGAGGCAGGGAGCGCTGGGGTCACCTCCCAGGCCTCACCTCCGGACACCACACAGATCTGGGGCGCAAACCCTCTGTCCGCAGAGCGGCAGCGTCTGAGTGGGGACCCGCCTTCCTGCCATGGGAGCGCCGCGGCCCCGAGTGTGCACCCACCTTATTTATCCAGTACATGACGGCGTCCTCGATGTCGTAGGGCAGGTCGGTGGCCTGGAAGAAGGTGGAGTACCGCTGGGCGCACGCGATGACCTTCTCCACGCTGACCATCTCCGCCGTGTAGGCCATCATCAGGGTGTCTATCATCGCCAGGTGGGCGCTCTGAAACGGAAGCGGGGACGCGGCTGAGCCACCTGAGGTTCTGGCTGACATTCTGAAATGCAAGGGCCTCTCCTAAGGGGCAGGCGCAGAAGGGAAGGCCACAGGAGGCGGGACTCTAAGGGAGCACACGGGGCACACGGGGGAGGGGCGAACGGAGACAGTCCCTGGTCAGCTCCTGGCCGAGGCCCCGGCTTCGGGACACCGTCTTTACCCCAAGGAGGCCCTGTTCCTGTTTGTGATCACGTCGTAACTGTTACTCAGCAATGTGATGTACAAACTTCAGCGTCATCTCCAACTGCTCCTGCCTCACGCATCACATCCACGCAGAACTCTGTAGAGCCTTCCTCTAAAGCAGCGGCCGCCAACCGGTGGTCCAAGGACTACTGTCCCGTCTCCCCTCCCGCCTCCGATAGGCACATTCCAATCCAGGCCTCCACACACCTCCCGCCTGAAGGCAAGGCCTCCATCTGAACCTCCTGCTCCAGCTCCTCCCCCTGCTCATCCACGCAGGACTCTGCATGTTGTTTTATGTTTTTAAATACATAAGTGGCCTTATACTTACCATTACACTTTTGCTACCAGCACACAACTCGCCTCCCAAACTGGAGGCAGCATGCAGAAATAAGAGATCCCCAAATTACGATAATTAATTTTTATTTTTTTAAAAATATATATATTTTTATTGATTTCAGAGAGGAAGGGAGAGGGAGAGATAGAGAGAAACATCAATGATGAGAGAGAAGCATTGATTGGCTGCCTCCTGCACGCCCCCTACTGGGGATCGAGCCCGTAACCCAGGCATGTGCCCTTGAATGAAACTGAAACCGAGACCCTTCAGTCCACAGGCCGATGCTCTATCCACTGAGCCACACCGGCCAGGGCAAAGTTAGACCATGTAGAGGTGGAAGGCAGGCGGTCCATACGTTCAGCACCAAGCACTATCCCAACACGCTTCCTAAAAAGCAGGACAAAGAGGCCTGATGCTTATCACCCTGTCGCTCTAAACCAACACAACAGGTTCCTAAGGAGCAACGTTCTCACTAGAACTCTGAGACCTTCTCACCGAGATTTCAGAAAAGTAGTAACACAATCAATCATACGTTCACAGCAACTGGAAAACTTTAAATCTAATGGTGACAAACACTGACAGCACGGGATTAAAGCAGAAGGCCACACACGTGAGCCTGCGAAGGGCTGCGGGCAGGGTCAGGCGCAGGCGGAGGTGCGAGCCGAGACTCAGGCCTGCACGTCACTGATGCACCCCTGCCGCGTCCCTGCGACCAGATTGAGATGCGCCCCCAGCCGTCAGCAGCGTCAGCGCGAGAAACGGCAGCCCTGCGTCAGCGTCTCCACACACACACACACACACACACACACACCGACACACACTCACACCAACACACACACACACCGACACACACTCACACCAACACACACACTCACCGACACACACTCACTCACACCCACACCAACACACACACACACCGACACACACTCACTCACACCCACACCAACACACACACTCACCGACACACACTCACTCACACCCACACCAACACACACACTCACACATTCTGACACACACACTCCCCCCCACACACTCACTCACACCCACACTCACACCCCCCACACACCAATACACACCCACTCACACACTCCCCACACACACTCTGACTCACACACACACACACTCTGACACACATACACTCACAGTCACACACACACACACACACACATACACACACACACACACACTGCGCTAGGAAACAACGTGGAAAATACAGGTGCCTCACCTGCTTGAGGGATAACGGTTCGTTGCCATCGGTGTGCGTGGGCAGCGGCTCAGCAGACACGGACCCCCAGCCGTGGGGAGCTGGGACCGTGCACTCGGCCTGCAGACTGCGGACACGCACAGCGGGGGCAGCAGCCGGCAGGGGCCCTCCAGAGGGGACGTCAGAGGGGAACTGCTCCCCGCGCTGCAAGCCTGCTCGCAGGTGACGTGCCCGCAGAGCAGGGCCCCAAAACTCAGTGAGCACGGGAACCTGCAGCCACCACGGAGCTGAAACCCCTTCCCCACCGTCCTGACAAACTCAGCTGCCCACCTGTAAGCCAATGACCAGCTAACTCTTACCATTACCTCCTCCCTTAAAAGTAATACAATGGGTTTTTAAAAAGAAGAAAAAGGCAGAAAGCAAAGTAGGTCACAACCTCATTTAGTGCCAGACGGTGAACTGACTTGGCCCATCCTACTTCAAGCTCATAATTTCTTGCTTTTTTCTTTAACTACATACATTTCTTCCTCTGTCCTCCTACACACACATCTCCCCTGCCTCCGAGCAAGGCCGTCTCATGGAGGAGCGTGACTTCATCAAATGTATGGCCGTTTTCCTTCCAACACCATTTCGATGACGCCCAGCATTCTGTAAACCAAGCTAAAGGGGCAGCAGCCCAGCCGGCTGTAGCTCAGTGGTGGACCTAGGAACCAGGAGGTCACAGTTGGATTCCCGGTCAGGGCACATGCCTGGGTTGCGGGCTCGATCCCCAGTAGGGGGCGTGCAGGAAGCAGCCGATCCATCATTCTCTCTCAGCATTGATGTTTCTCTCTCCCTCTCCCTTCCTCTGAAATCAATAACAATATACATTAAAGGGGACGGCAGACGGTGAACTGAACATGGGCCTTGTCTCCAGGGCTGCCCTGCGAGGCCCTCCTGCTTGGCCCAGGCCAGCTCAGTGTCCTTCGCCGCGTGTTTTCCACAGAAAAGCTCATGCTTAGTAACTACACTGACACATGTGACAGGCAGAGACTCCCCAGGAGTCACTCAGGCACGTGCACGGACCCTGACACACATTCACACCCTCAGGCCCCACCCTCCGGCCCCCGGCCCGGCCCTCGGAGGCTCACCATCTGGATGGGCTTCCTCTGCAGGTCCCGCTCGGTCACCAGCCGCTCCTGGTCGGTGACGTAGAGCCCCTTCTGCGCCAAGGCCTGCACCACGGCGTCGTGGCCCACCAGGGGCTTGGCGGCGTCGCTCTTGAGGATGAGGCTGCCCGCCCGGCAGTACAGCTCGGCCGACAGCAGCAGGTGCACGACGGGCGGCTTGATGTGCTCCTGGTCGTACTGGTCCGTGTAGAACGGCTCTCGGAGCTCCTCTGGCACATTTTCTAGGCGGAGCAGAGGGAAGCGCTTACAGGGTTTCCGTAAAGAAACGCCATGTGCCCAGTAATGACGACTGTGCCACTGACGCTAAGATTCCTCCTAAAATGACAGTGGCCATTCCTAAACCGAACAGGCCTGGAGAGCACCTGAAATGGAGAGAAATCTGCCCCAGACACCATTCCAAGTGCGTCCTAAAGGGACCACAGCGCCAGCAGGGGAAGGCTCTGGTCTAGTGGCTCCCGGGAAAGTCGCCCACACGCACACGCAAATACAGTGAGCCACACGCACATACACAGGGAGCCACACGCACACGCACATACACACTGAGCCACACGCACATACACACTGAGCTACACACACGTGCACATACACAGGGAGCCACACGCACACACAATACACAGTGAGACACACACATACACAGCGAGCCACATGCATGTGCACATGCACAGCGAGGCACACACATGTGCACATACACAGCGAGCCACACACATGTGCACATACACAGCGAGCCACACACATGCGCACATGCACAGCGAGCCACACACATGCGCACATACACAGCGAGGCACACGCATGCGCACATACACAGCGAGGCACACACATGTGCACATACACAGCGAGGCACACACATGTGCACATACACAGCGAGCCGGAAGACTGCACAGGACTTCAGTGACTTTCCTCCCATGTACGCAGTCAACCGGGAGATGCAGGCACAGCTCACTCGGGGGACTGAGGTCTCACCCGAGAAGCCTCAAACCCTGCACAGCTCACCTGGGACTCTCCACCTTCCCACGGCCAACCCGTCCTACCCACGGACCCACTCCGCGGGCACAGGGGCAGCTTACACACCACACGGACAGGACACACTGTTTTCTCGCCGTCTCTACTCTGTCGCTGCTTCCCCCCTCTCCTAACTGGGCTCCATGCTTTACAGCAAAGCCAGGACGAGAGCCAGGGCTGTCCCCACAGGGACCGGCGGGCATCCGGCTCTAGGTCACCGGGCTCGCACTCAGTCCCGCCCGCCCTCTCCGGGAGGGTGAGGGTCCTGAGCGGGCAGCTCGAACGTCAGGTCAGTGACGCACAGAACGAATCGAGGCCTTTCCATGACAGCCGGCGAGGGGCGTGAGTTTGGAAGGAGAGAGCCACACAGTGCGTGATGCCCGGGCCGTCACCTGGGAGTCAGCGCTGGCAGCGGGGAAATCAGCTGCAGCTCACACCGGTGAGGAGCGAAGGGAGAGGCCGTGAGCGGGGGTAACAGCACACACACCCGAGTGGAAATATCCACCGCGCAGCTGGGGACCATACAGGACTCTGGAAGGAGGTCAAGAGTAGCTGGAGCAAATCGGGGATCTGGGGGAGATCTAAAAATATCCTCCCATTTAATAATTGAAAGCACTCCTCCCCACAGCTGCATTAACCAGCGGCGAGCCGGCTGCCGGGCAGGGCGCACGACCTCGCTGGGAACCACAGAAGGTGTGTGCGCGTGGGGACTCGCCTAACTCAGCACCCCAGGAGCTGAGGGGCCCCCTAACCCAGCACCCCAGGAGCTGAGGGATCTGCCTAACCCAGCACCCCAGGAGCTGAGGGAGCCCCTAAAAGACTGCTCATTATCAGAGTCATGAACTTCCCCGGCACCCGTCCCCCCTGTGCATCCACCCACAGTCAGCGGCTGCTCTCACACCCTGTGCCCACACCTGACCGTTTCCGAGGGCCCGTCTACCAATCCCACTCCCACCCCAGGTACAAGGTGAGCTTCAAACCTCCCACGGCCAGGGGAGCCAAGGGCCCACAGCATCAACACGGCAGAAAGAGACCTTTCCACCCCAAAGAACGCAAGGCTGCCGTGAATGTTCCAGAACAGGTCCCTTTACATATATACACTTTTTTTTTACTGATCTGAGAGAGGAAGGGAGAGGGAGAGAGAGAGACATCCATGATGAGAGAGAAACACTCATCGGCTGCCTCCTGCACCCCCACCCTGGGGATGGAGCCCCCAACCCGGCATGTGCCCTGACTGGGAACTGAACTGTGACCTCCTGGTTCATAGGTCGACGCTCAACCACTGAGCCACCCCGGCCGGGCCCAAACAGGTCACTTTAACCAGGTCTTCAAGAACGATATGCTTCAGAGGCATCTTGGGAAAGGTCTCATTTCCACCAACAGTGCAGACTCCGTTTCTGAAGAACAGCTTGGACTTGTGTCACATTTTGAAACCCATGAACCGAAACAGCACGTTAGGAGATAAACAGGCGTCGGCGATAAGAGGTTTCGCCCTCTCCCCAGCGTGCGGCCCAGATAAGAGGGACTCGGGGAGCGGCGTGTGAAGCGCCCTCCGAGGCCTGCCAGGGGCGCGACGGGTTTTTCTTGTGCGCCAGCCTCAGCACACCCACCCGACGGGACCATCACTCCCCGGATCTGAGCTTGGAAACCGCCGTCACCTGCAGGGCCTGAGGGACGGGGACGGGGCGGCTGCTCAAGGCGATTGCCATCGTTTCCCACGAAGCTGGCGAGCTGCCCGCGGCATCCACGTGCCAGGGCACACGAGGCTCCTGAGAAGTGAAGGCTTCGGCCACTCACCTCGGCCCAGTGTCACCTTCAAAGCCACACCTAGGCCTCTTCGCCCACATCCCCTGCCATGGAGGAGGCACCAGCAGTGGGAACAATGGGGGCACTGGATTTAAAGAGACGAGTCCTGACTTAGCCGGTGTGGCTCAGTGGATAGAGCGTCGGCCTGAGGACTGGAGGGTCCCAGGTTCGATTCCAGTCAAGGGCACGTGCCCAGGTTGTGGGCTTGATCCCCAGTAGGGGGCATGCAGGAGGCAGCTGATCCATGATTCTCTCTCATCATTGATGTTTCTCTCTCTCCCTCCCTCTCTGAAATCAATTAAAAAAAAAAAAAAAGACGAGTCTTTGTTCACCCACGTCCTTGGTAGGGGGTCTGAGTCCCCAGGTCCACAGATGTGCCTGCGACCCTCCTCGACTCCAGCGCCCGCCCCTGCCCTGGGCCCGATGCCGCATCTGCTGCTGCTATAGGCGCCAGCTCTCCCCTCCGCCCCTTCAGCCCTGCTCCTCCTCCTCCTCCTTCACGCCGGGGCTCTTTCCACTCCGACTCATGAGTGTCACCTCCTCAGGGCACGGCCCTAACCCCGGGTCACTCATTCCCTACAGGACAGTCACTCCCTACAACACTGAGGGGCCTGAGGACAGCAGACGTCTCTGTCCAGTGTCCTGGCGCCACAGCGGCCCCCGGACAGTCACCCAGGGCGGCGTCTTCAGAGCAGATGCCAGTGAAGAGCTCGCTCCCTCCTTCCCCATCACATGCGGGCGGGCGGGCGGGCGAGGTGCTGGGCCGCATTCCTCAGCTCACAGTCCGCCCTCTCCCGTGACCACACCTCCCGCTCTCATCTCTTCACGGGTGGCACAGGGAGCCCCAACTCCACCCGGGAGCCGGCTTCTCCCTGACAAGGGGTCACACACATGGAGGGGGCGTGAGTGACCTGGGGAGGCCGGGAATGGGAGTGTGGGCACGAGCCCGGGGCTCCTATCTCCCTGCGGAGAGCGACGTAGCCACGGGCTATGTGGGCACCACGTGGGTCTCCTCGCTGCCTGCCATGGGCGCAGCGCCTCTCAGCTGCTTTCTGAGACCCTGCCCGCCGGAAGGAGGCAGCGCCCCGAGAAAGGCTGCTCCAGGGCTGAAGCGGGAACCGTGCAAGATGAGCTAAGAATCTGTGCGAGCACGCGCGTGTGTTTAAGAGTGTGAGCATGTGTGCGCGTGAGAGAGCGTGTGTGGGTGAGAGAGCGTGTGTGTGCGTGCACATGTGTAAGAGTGTGAGCATGTGTGAGTGTGAGTGTGTGTGTGTGTGTGTGTGTGTGAGTGCGTGGGGGGAAGGGGAAGAGAGAGAGAATAAAAGAAACGGGGCAGAATGCTAACAATCGGTCACCCTGGGTCCAGGGCACTCAGGGGTTCCCTGGATTATGTTAGGTTTTGAAATTATTCTGGGGGGAAAAAAAGTTGCAAAACCTTGAGATGCCCCAAATCAATCTTTCCCCCCAAATGTGAGCATCTCCCAGGGTCCCCTCCATCCATGAGCCACTAGCTGCCCAGTCGGAACCTCGGGGTCATCACCCAGCCCCGTCCCTCTCTCCCCCCCCAAATCACACCCATCACCAAATCCAGTCCCAACCCACCCTCCTCTGGGCCGGAGCCCGCGCCCCCGGCCCCGGCGGTCAGCACCGGTCACAGGCCAGGCACTTACCCCCACACCCATCTCCTCCACGCGTCCACCCTCGTCCCTGCTCCAGCCAACCCCTCTCTCCCAGAGACAGGCCTGCGCATCCCCAGAGCAAACTGGTCACGTCTCCGCCAGCAACGAGCCGGGTTTTCAAAGACCTCTGACCTCTGAGGGTCAAGCCCTCCCTGTGACCTGCAGGGCGGCCTGCCCTGCCCCTGCCCAGCTCCTGTGGCCACACTCCCTGCCCTGCAGACTGTCTGCCTCTGCCATTCCGGCCGCTCTGCCCCGGACGCCCTTCTCTCTGCTCCTCACTCTCTCACAAAATACTAGTACGCGCTCAATGAACTAGTCATTCTAGTTTTAAATCCACTGTTCCTTAAGCCGGCCCTTCAAACGGCTGTGTCCCACTCCACCTTTCCAGCCGGGTCTCCCACCTCCTCCAACCCGCTGGGCACATCACCCCCCCAACCCGCTGGGCACACCACCTCCTCCAACCCGCTGGGCACATCACCTCCCCCAACCCGCTGGGCACATCACCTCCCCAACCCGCTGGGCACACCACCTCCTCCAACCCGCGTGGGCACATCACCCCCCCCAACCCGCTGGGCACATCACCTCCCCAACCCGCTGGGCACATCACCCCCCCAACCCGCTGGGCACACCACCCCCCCCAACCCGCTGGGCACATCACCCCCCCAACCCGCTGGGCTGAGCCTCCGGGTCTCAGCCTCCGGCCGCACACACCAGCTCCTCCACCTGCAGTGCCTGCCCTCCCACCAGGGCCCAGTGTGACCGGCCTCCCACCAGGGCCCAGTGTGACCGGCCTCCCACCAGGGCCCAGTGTGACCGGCCTCCCTCCAGGGCCCAGGGTGACCGGCCTCCCTCCAGGGCCCAGTCGCCCGCCACCTCCCCTCCTTAGGCGTTTCCGGAGCTCCATGCAGTTACACGTTCACCGTATCTCCCTGCTGGAGCTCCAATTGGAGGAGAAAGGCCTGGCTAAACCGCGCCTGCGCTGTAAGAGCTCCTCCGGGGCTCAGCATCACCCCTGTAATTCTCTCCACACTCAACTGCTCTCCCTCGGCCTCCTTCTCCTCGGGTCCCCCAAAAGCTTCCGAAGGGGCTCACTGCCCTCGACCCTGCCTGAAATGCTTCTCGCCCCTGTGATCTCATCTACTTCCAAGTTCAATGACACTTTATGCACAGCCTCCTTCCTCCGTCCTACCCCACACCCACACTGGCAGCTAGCGGCATCACAGGCGGCTTGGAGATTTGGCCAACGCATCAAGTTCAAGGTCTCCTCAAACAAAGGTGGGTGCCTTCCACCCCCTGCTCTCTCCCCTCGGCCAATGGCATCGCGACTCACCCTCCCAGTCACTGACTCTCAAAGGCTCAGGGACCTCATCCTCCCTAAAACCTCAGGTGGCCGCATGCTCTTAGACTGCCTTTAATTCAAGCCCTGCCCAGGCACCCCAAGTCCAGTCATTCAGAATGCTGGGACCCCCCCGCCCCCACCTAGCGCCTCTTTCCCATGAGCCCGCCTTCCTGTGCTGGGCAGCGGTCAAGAGAGCAGAGTCCGCTCCAGAAGGGGGTGGCAAGGATGAGCTCCTACCCCCTGGGCCTCGGCTCCTCCCCCGTGTAACTGGAATGACTAACAGTTTCCAGCTCTTGACCAGCCTCCTGTCATCCTCACGTCCTGGGGTTAAAGTGAGATAAGACATGGAAGTGCCTGACGCCGTAGGTGTAAGTTCTCAGTAGCTGTGAGCAGCCCGGGCGGCGTGCTCAGTGGTTGAGCATCGACCTGTGAACCAGGAGGTCACGGTGGGATTGCTGATCAGGGCACACGCCCGAGTTGCGGGCTGTCTCCAGTAGGGGGCATGCAGGAGGCAGCTGATCCATGATTCTCATCATTGATGTTTCTCTCTCTCTCCTTCGCTTTCCCTTCCTCTGTGAGCAGCTGTCCCCTCCGTCCCCACCCACTTCGAGCTCCTGGGAATGGCCTGCTGGCTCCTGCAGCACGTCCCACACCAGCCCCTGCTGTGCGCCCTCCTGAGGGCAGCGCACCCTGGCCCGCCAGCACCCCCAGGCGTGAGCACCAGCGAGCTCCTGTGCAGGCTCTGCCTCCAGCAGTGCTGGACAAACACAGAGTGTCAGGCGTGTTTGTAAGAGCAAGTGATTTGATGTTGTACGCAACTGAATGGCCCGGAAGGGAGATGCCACTGGATAGAGTTGACATGATAAGTGACATGAGGAAGTGCACGCTAAGATCTCCACACGCAAGAATTCGGTGAGGAAGCGAGTCATTTGGACGCTCCGCGCCCACCATTTCCTCCGCAGGACTGAGGGAGCGGGGCCTTCAGAGCGACTGGGTGACATCCTGGCCGCGCGGGCGGGCTGTCAGTCCGGCTGCCCTCCCGCTCCTGGCCCTGCTCAGTCATCAGAGTATCTGTTTACTGGTTACAACGCATCCAAACAAGCTGACTCTTGACTTGATCAAAACTGGGTCTGCATTCTTCCACAAGAGGAACGGCTGACATCCGGACGCTTCAGACCATTTTAGTGGAAAGAGGAGGAGACGATTCAAAGCTTCTGACACAGGACTTCAGGGGAAGGGAGCCTCCACCGTCTGCTTTCCAGGTGTGACGACACTCATGCTTTATTTGTTCATTTATGGCTCAAAAACTTCATTCTATGCCCACAATTGGCTTCTAGCTATCATTTTAAGTGACTTTTCAACATCTGGTTCTAAAATTGACTACTCTTGACTATGTTAAAAGTTAGACAGTTTATCATGGGAAAAGACAAAATCCATGCCCGAAGGCCCTATACCGCATCGCTAAAGAAGTGCTTTTAGTGATCAGAGCAAAGTCGGGCTGATTTTCGAATGATTAACTAACTACTATTAGGTAAAGCCTTTGAAACATGTAGTCTGTTAGCATTTGCTGCATAAGGGTCTGCAGCAAATGAAGCATATTGACATCAAGAGAAAGAAAACGTTCCCCTTTTCCTGTTCACACCGTATGCATTTATGCTTTGAAAGATCACCGGCTAAGAAATAAAATGTGCCAGCACAGCAGGGCTACTAACGCATTCACCTTTTTTTTTTTTTCCCCCCCGCATTCACCTTTTGTTTCTAAGTCGCTCTGAGGTCCTGAAGCTGGGTTTCCCTGGGTTTTTTTAGACATTCCAACTGTTGCCCAGGCAAATGTTACTAAGTACCAACAATGGCCACTGAAACCATCTGACAGTTAGTGTAAGAC